GGCGCGCGCGCGGCGGTGTCGGTGACGAACGGCGCGCGGGCGGGTGGTGGGGCTCGTGTACGTCGGGTCCGCGAGCGCGCGCGCGGTGGGCGTGGACGCGTGTGGGACGTGTGGGGGGGATGGGCGCGCGTGCGCGGGGTGCGATGGCGTCGCGTCGAGTGGGACGGCGTTCGACGCGTGCGGGACGTGCGGGACGGCGTGCGACGCGAACGCGGGGCAAGGGTGCGCGTTTAACGCCACGTGTTGGGATTGTGCGTCGGTGACGAACGGGGCAAGCGTGGTGGACGCGTGCGGGGAGTGTAAGGACCCGACGAATGCGACGTTTTCGCGCGCCGGCGTTCCGGATTATCACCTCGGGGGGTGCGTCGGGTGCGACGGCGTCGCGAATAGCGGGACGACGTTAGACGTGTGTGGGGTGTGCGGTGGGAACGGGTGCGAAGGAGAGGATTCGTCGCAGTGGAGTTGGTGCTGTGACTGCACCGGGGTAGCTTTCGGCTCGCACGTGAAGGATTTGTGCTGTTCGTGCGTGGACGGGGACACGTATTATCCAAACGGGGTGAAGCCGGACGCGCACACGCAGATAGAGGAGTTGTGGGAGATAGGGCAGACGAAATACGTCGCAGCGAAGGCGGCTTTGACGGCGCTTTCGAACCAGACGAGCGGCGAAAGGATGCACGCCGAGGGCGCGCAGGCGCTGTTCCAAGAGGCAAAGACCGCGTACGAACAAGCGTGGGCGTTAGTGGAGACGCAGCGAACGGTGCAGGGAACGACGATGTGTTATCCGACGCTCATACCGGATGAAATGGTGAACAAGATTGGACGTGACGCGTGTGGTACGTGCTCTGGGGATCGCAGTTTGTGCTTGGGTTGCTCAGTGGGCGACACGCTGCTGCCCATCGGACCTTTGGGAGGGCTGCACGAAGACGATTGCGGCGTGTGCGATGGAAGCAACGTGTACGACGTGTGCGGTGTTTGTGAGGGATTCAATACTGAAGAGAGCAATAACTGTCGCGGATGCGACGGCGTCACCGCAAGCGGCGCTGTGAATGACGCGTGCTACGGCTCGAGCGATCCACGAATGGTGGACGAGAACGGGGACCTTAAGTTTCCGCTCGGTACCGTTGGGAGCGGTTGTAGTGTTCCGTCAGAGTTCAAAACAGCGTGCGACGCCGGTGGAGGTGGTTGCTGCGGATGTGACGGCGTCCCAAACAGCGGAAAATCGTTGGACATTTGCGGCACGTGTTTGGGGGCAAGCGACCCGGCGCGCGTAACAGACGCGGGGCGGTGTGACGACGCAATATTTTTAGTGCGGCTCCCGAGCGGGCTGGTAATCGGACCGTACACGAGAAGCGAAGTGAGGAGTGGATTCCTGACATATACCGATACTTCGACGCTCACGGACACCGTCTATACTGTATCATCCGATACGCTCATCGCAAACGCCAAAGTTGAGAATGTCGTTGCAAATGTCAGTTATGGCATGACTTCCGTGGCCCAGGAGTACGTGGATTCATGGAGATCAATTTTCGTGGATCAGCGCGAAGATATCCTCAGCGCTAGCAGTGAACCAAACGTCACGAATGTCGTCACAGTCTCTGCGAGTAGCGTGCAGAATACAAGTGAGTACGTAGCGCTTCAGTACAAGGAAGAATTTTTGGGTTCAATTTATCCATACTGCACCGGAGCGACATACGGTAGTTACGGTGTAGCGGCAACCGTCGGGCACAGACTGCACGGTAAGAAAACGGGTGCAAATTATCTCGGTCTTATTACGAGCGGAGATCTTAGCGATCTCGACGATTGGAACGATGCACTCGACAAGGTAGATTTCTCTTGGAATAAGCTGGATCAGTACATCTTGGATAAAGTCGAGGGCTGGGCCGATCAGCGTTGCGAGTGCCAATCTGAGTGGCGATTCTATCCCGAGCCGACTCCACCTACATGCGAGCGCGTGTGGTTGCAAGCTAGTGACGAAGAGAAGACTGCTAGCATGGAGCGCAGTGCGGCGACCGGGTCCTGGACCGTCGATGGTGGCTGGTGGAAGCAAGACTACGGGCAGAAGACATCGCAGACGCAACTCAGCGCGCGTGGACCTTTTCGCATTGATGCTTTTGGCTACCTGTCCAAAAAAATCACTCACAGTGCCAGTCAGGAGACTGACGAGAAAGGCCCATGTGAGTACGAAGCGATGCGTATAATCGACGGGACGTCGAATTCAACCGGTGCCGTTTGGTATCCAGAACGCCAACCGGTACTTAAGGGGTTTGAGGTCAACTTCACGTTCATGATCACCCAAGCGAGCATCTTGTGCGAATCCGTAGACAGCGTCTCCAGAGCGTTTCAGCAGTCCATCCATAATAAATTGTACGAAAAGTGCCGTACATCCGGAGGAGATGGTTTTGCATTCGTTATTCGCGATGACGTGACCGTTTTGTCCGCGTCAGCGCTGCCTCCTCTCGGAAGAGCTGGACCGAATCTCGGGTATGCTGGTATCAACAATTCCATCGCGTTCGAGTTCGACACAGTTTACAACGCCGACTTCAACGAGCCGCGCGAGGGGCACGTGAGTATTCAAACACGTGGTCGTTTATCAAATACCGCTCACGCCAGTGCCAGTCTCGCGTCGACCACGAAAACGGTCAACGACGGTCGAATCCACACGGTGGTAATCAAGTACGAGCCTGCGCTCGACGAGGAGGAATTATTCTTTAGACTAGAGTCCGGCGACGTCGGTCTCTCCACCGCTCTCACGTCACACACGGCCGACACGATCGGCATACTCTCGCTGTACCTCGACGATCTCACCAGCCCTCTGATGAGCGTCCCATTCAACTTTGAAAGCGTCCTGCGAGACGACTCCACCGAGGCCTGGGTCGGTTTCACCGCCTCCTCCGGCGACAACTACCAAGCCGTGGACGTCATCGACTGGAGCATGGTCTCCACGACGTAGACGTTTACACACGATTAGCACCGCGCGACGTCGTCGTCGCTGTGATACAACCGATAGATTAGCCGCGTACGCTCGCGCGTTCGCCCCCCGCGGCGCCGCCCAGAGTCCGAGTCACACGGCACACGGCCAACTACCACCGACCGGGTCGTCACACGCCGACGCGCGCGCGCGCGCTGATCCGCGACGGACGCGGCGTCCGAGGGCTCGAATGTCCGATACCGTCGACCTCGGCGCCCTCGCGCGCGCCCTTCCGCCCGAGAGCGACGACGGGAACCGAGAGTACAAACGGTTGCTCGTCGGCGTCTCCGACGAGCGATTCGAAGAACTCACGACGCAACTGAAATGGCGGTGTCACGAGGGCGACGGCGAAGCGCTGTACGAGCTGGGCGTGAGCGACGACGGGGAACCGGTGGGTTTGACGGAGAGCGAGTGCGCGGAGAGCTTGGAGACGTTGATTCGAATGGCAAAGGAAATCGACGCCACGTGCTCGACGGCGTGCGAGCGTAGGACCAAGGACGGGAAGCGGTGCGTGACGGTGCTCGTGCGGGAGAATTTTGAGACGACGACGCATAAGGAGATCCGAATCACGACTTTGGGGAACGTGGACTCGGGTAAGTCGACGATTTTAGGCGTCCTGACGCGAGGAGGATTGGACAACGGGCGCGGGCTCGCGCGCGGAGGCGTGTTTAGGCATAAACATGAAATTGAGTCGGGACGGACGAGCAGCATCAGCTCGCAAATAATGGGATTCGCGAGCGATGGAAGCGTGATTAACTATCACAATCCCGAAGTGCGCGAGGCGCATCAACTTCGGTGGGATCAAATTGTGTCGGCAGCTGCAAAAGTGATTCACTTTTCGGACCTCTGCGGGCACGAGAAGTATCTTCGAACGACCATGCACGGAGTCGCTGGAACGCTACCAGATTTCGCGCTAATGTGCGTCGATGCCAACCGTGGTGGCATTATCGGGATGACGAAGGAGCACTTATCCATATTGCTCGGGTTGAAGGTGCCGTTCTTTGTGCTCGTCACTAAGGTTGACATGGCGAGTCCGGAAAACTTGGCGGCGACGTTGGATGCGCTGACAACAATGCTGAAGCGTCCCGGTACACACAAGACGCCGTTCATCGTGCGCGACGAGTTGGACGTTATAACTTCAGTGAAGAATATTTCCGGTGGCATCATTACACCGATTTTCCAAGTTTCGTGCGTCTCCGGTCAAGGTTTGGACCTCGTCCGGAAATTTCTGAATCATATTCCCGCGAGACGAATGCTCAAGCCTTTGGAGGGCGATCGCGCGCTCGTGCACCTAGACGATTCATTTACCGTGCAAGGTATTGGTACGGTTGTGAGTGGCCTCGTCGTGAGTGGTAAAGTTGATACGCACGCGTCGATGCTCCTCGGTCCAGATGGGAACGGCGAATTCGTGCCAGTGCTTATTAAGAGCGTTCAGAATAAGCGCGTCGCGGTCGAAAGCGTCGCGCATGGCAACACGGCGAGCTTTGCGATCCGGCCGAAGAAGGGTCATATTCACAAACACGAGGTCCGTAAGGGGATGATCCTGTGCGACGTGAGCGTCAATCCTCGCGCGACGTGGCAGTTTCAGGCGGAGGTCCTGATACTCGCGCATCCCACGACGCTCAAGGTTGGATACAATCCAATCCTACACTGCGTCACGGTGCGACAGGCGGCGCGAATCATGTCAATCGAGGGTAAAGACGTTATGCGTATGGGTGATCGAGCTCTCGTCACCTTTGAGTGGAGCCACAGACCGGAGTACGTCAGCGTCGGTACGCGCATAATCTTCCGCGAGGGGCGTACGCGTGGCATCGGGGTCATTCGCTTCATAAATCCCGATGTCTCGCCCACACCTTTCAGAAACTATAAAACACAAACACAAAATCACGGGTGCGACGCAACGACTGCGATACACGGCACCACGGTCACAGCCGGGGCCGCTTGATTAGAACACAGCAAACAGGTACAGTTTTTCATATAGTTACACGTCCAGCAGCTAATTTCGTCCTCATCACATCACGCCAACGCCGCCAAGAACTTGGAGTACGCCGTCTCGATCTCGTACAAGAAGTCCCTCGCCTCTTCCTCGTCCATCGCCTCGCTCGCTCGCATCTCGTCCATCCTGCTCAACCATCTCCGCACGCTCTTCGTTCCCTCAAAGTCGCTCGGCAACCGACTCACTCGACACAGCGCGAGCAATAGATCCCCCAACAGCGGCCCCACCTGATCCTTCGCTCGCATGTCCAACTTCACCGTGTCCATGACGCCGATGAAACAGTGCGTGGCGTCCGCGACCGCCCTGGCCTCCGCCCTCTGCTCCGCATCCGTGCCTCGCGCCGTGCTCCCGCGATGTTCCGCCGTCGCCGGCACCCCGCTCGCCAATCTCTTCCGCGCGCTCGGCACGTGCGCCCCGTACGTCTCGAAAAACCGATCCAAATCCGGCACCGCATCGCTCAACACGCTCCGCAGCGTCTTAAACTTTTGCATCAGGTCCACGCACGCGCGCTCGTACGCATTCGCGCTCACCGACGACGACACGTACGCCCGCTCGAGCCGCTCCAACGCGCGCGCGAGGGCGTAGAGCGTGGCGAAGTCATCGTACGCCCGCTTCTCCCGCGCCGTTCGACGCAGTTCGACGCGTCGAGACATTTTCGAGGGACGGTCGCGTCGATGTGCCCACTCGTCGCCTCGCGCGCGCGACGGCGACGGGATGAGTTCGAGCGATCTCGTCGATCAGTTCGCGGCCGGGGTCGAGGGCGCGATCGGTGTGGACGGCCTCGCCGCGCGCGTCGAGCGCGGTGCGTGGACGGGCGGGCGCGACCGCGTTCGGGCGCGATCGCGGTGTGATGCGATGGCGTTCGATCCCAGGGATGATCTCGACGTGACGACGACGCGACGACGCGCGACTGACGGTGAGGGAGGTAATTTTAACGGCGCAGAGATGCGCGTGGAGACGAGCGCGTCGATGGGCGATCTCGTGGACGGGGACGCGTCGAACGCGGTGACGCAAAACTCTTCGTTCGGTTCGCTGAGCGAATCGCTCGGCCAGGAGAACGGTCAACAGAACGGCTCGAACGCGAGCCTGACGGAGGGTGGATTGGATGATTTCGGTGATTTTGCGACCGAGCCCGCGGCGGTGGAGTCGGCGGCGGTGGAGTCAGCGCCCGTGGAGTCGGCGCCCGTGGAGTCGGCGCCGGCGGAGTCGGCGTCCGCCGCGCTCGCGGGCCCCGAGTCGACGTCGGCGTCGCAACCGCCGTCGGCGCCGGTTTCGAACGTCGGTTCGATGCAAGCGCTCAGCGAATCTGACTTCGCGCCGTTGGAACCCGCCATCTCGTCCGAGCCGGCGCTGAACACGCTCAACTCTCCGCACCTGCAGGCGTTCCGAGCCAAGCAGGCGGAGCTGATTGCCGAGAGAGAGGAGGTCGAGCGCCGCGAGATCGAGCGCATCAAGGAGGAGGCCAAGGCCGAACTCGATCTCATGGACTCTCAACGCGCGAAGCAGATCGCCGCCGCGAAGCAGGCGAACAGAGAGCGCCAAACCGCTGAGGAGGAGCTCTTCGCCAACTCCACGGGCTGGGAAGCCGTGTGCAATTACGTGAGCGAGGAGAACCTCGTCCCCAACTCCCTCACCGATCTTTCCAAGATGCGATCGCTTCTTCGCACGCTCAAAAACACGCATCCGGTGAAGACCGCGTGAGTTAGCCACGACGAAATCACGCTGTAATAACTCTGATTGAAACGCGGAGACGCGCAACCGCGCCCGCGGCGTCCCGTTCCCGCGCCGCACTTCGCGTCGCGCCATGTCCTTCGCCACGCGCCGCGTCGTCGCCCTCGCGACCTCCGTCGTGCTTCTCCTCCTCACCGTCGCCGACGCCGAGGTCGTGATCAGCTCCGAGGACGTCACCGTCGCCGTCGCCGCGGAAGAACCTAGACGGCTCGAAGGCTTGACGCTCGAGCACGTGCTCGCGAAACACGTCGCGTTTCCCCGTGAATCGTTGATCGAACGCGCGAGCGACGCTCGGAACGACGGAGACGCGTGCGTGTCCGTGGAGGGGGTGACGTGCGCGGCGCTGCGAACGACGGAGGAGACGGACAAGGATGCGGACACGGCGCTGCGACCGACGCGGACGAAACGCTCGCGCGTCTCGCTCGTGCGCCTGGATGATGTGGAGGATTTGGTGAAGTATTTCAAGTCGCAAGGAACGATGGGGGATGTAGGACGGATCGCGGCGGCGGCGGACGACGCGAGCGCGGTGGGGGAACGGTTGAGCGCGTTGACGCGCGCCGCGGCGCAGGCGTTCGCGGACATGAGCGCGGGCGGACGCGGATCCAGCGGCCACGACGAGGATGAGAAAGACGACGACGCGAGTGATTCGTCGATTTCGAATGCACAGACGTCATCGATGGAGGAAACGCCGACGGAGACGACGCTCAGGCAAAAGTCAAAGATTCCCAGGCGGTTGCGGGACACGGGCGGCTCGTTCGACGGTTCCATGAAATCCATCCCCGGTTTGCGTCGTCGAACCGCGGTGTTTTACAACGCCCGCCCGAGCGCGGTGAGCGTGTACTGGGTCGATTTCAACGGCCGAGAGGTGCACTACGTCGACGTGCACTCTCGACATAAGGGCGTCGTGAAGTCGTTTCAGGGCCACGTGTGGATCGTCCGCGAGTTCGATTCGAGTCAGTTCATCGCGCAATACCTCGTCGGGGACGAGAGCACGCGCGCGCAGGCCTTCACAATTCCCACCACGTAACTCTCACCCCCTTAGCGCTCGTGTATCTCACCTAGGCATCGCTCGATCCGCGTCGATCCGCGTCGCGCGTCCAGAGCCGCGCGTTTCCCACAAGATTCACCCAACCACCGCGCCGTCACTTATCCGCACGCACACACACACCCGACCGACGCCCCGCGGCCTCGGACCTCTCGCACGCGCGCGCGAGGACCACGCGCGCGCGCCGCGTCGCCACGCGCGCGTCCACGGCGCCGCGTCCACGCCGAGAGCGCGTCGACGGCGCGTCGTCTGTGTGCTGACGCGGACGAAAGGCACCGGTCGACCGCGCGCGCGATGAGCGCCCTGGACGCGGTGCGTCGAGCGCACGAGGAGAAATTCTTCAAGACGGAGCAGGAGGCGGAGGTCCGACGATACGTCGCGCGCTTAAAGGCGGAGGGACGGTACGAGCGCGCGATGGCGGAGGCGGAGACGCGGGCGAAGACGAGAGGCGAGTTACGATCGACGGCGCTCCCGCAGATCATGGCGCACTCGCTGCGATTCGGTGGAACGGAGGAGGCGGAACACGTGCGACGGGTGATCGATCGGGATTTCATGACGAAACATCGATTGGTGACGAATCTGGGGAAGTACACGGACGGTTTTCTCCTGGGCGGACGGGTGAGCCTTGGTAAGAATAAGTGGACCGCGGGGACGACGGCGAGTGGAGTCGAGGGAACGACGATCTTCAGCGTGCACAAGGCGACAGAACTGATGAGCTCGCAGCCGAAGCACGCGAAGTTCGACGGCGGTCTCGAGACTCGCGCGGCTCGACACATGGTGGACAACACGTTCGTTGAGGTTGCCGGGAGGAAAATCAAGCTCATGCCAGATCCCACGCCGGGGCGCGCGATGGCCTGGGGAGGGACGCTCGCGATTTGGGGCACGGCTGCGATCACGTTGACGTCGTGCAAGCTTCTGGGTATCCGTTCAGTCAGCGACGTCGGCGACGTCATGAAGAGGCACCTCCAACCGTGCGCTGAATATATTCGCGACACGATGATGCCTTTGAAGACACGATTCGCCATGGACTCGTCGAGCTCCGCGAACTTCAAAGACACCGATTTCGCACACGGCATTAGACGCGTCTTCGCGTGAGCGATCCGTTGTGAAACTACTATTCATCTCTTACATCGAGAAGAGCGCCGCGCTAATGTGTACCTAAAACCCGCTCACGCCTCCTCGATCCCTCTGATCTCCAACACGCGCAAACCGGTGAGCTGCGCCCTATATCCATTCATCCGCCTGTGATTCTTTCTTCGCTTCTTCTTGAATATCAGCTTCTTCCCATCCCGCACGTGCTCCTCCACGAGCGCCACCACCTCCGCCCCCGGCACCGTCGGCCGCCCGATCACCGTCTCGCTCTTATTCCCGAGCATCAGCACCCGCGGCAGCGTCACCACGTCGTTCACCTCCACGTCCTTCACTTTATCCACGTATATCAAATCATCCGGCGACACCTTGAACTGATGCGACCGAATCTGCACCACGCCGAAGACCTCCTTGCGCCGCGCCTCCGTCCCGCGCGCGAGATCTCTCGTCCACGCCTCGTCGCTCGGCGCGCGCGCGATGGACGTCGGGACCGCCTCCACGGCTGGTGTGACGCCGCCGTCCACGGTGAGTCCGCTCGCGTACGTTCGCACGCGCACGCGCGCGCCCGCGGATGCGATCGCGGTCGAGGGCGGCTCGAGCGGTGGCGACGACGACGACGACCAGAGCGCCGCGCGCGCGCGCGTGGACGACGTGCGGGCGCACGCGGGGGCGCACGCGCGCTCGACCGCGGTGACGACGCGCAGGGCGGCTCGTCGGAGGGACATGACGACGGGACGACGCCTCGACGCGCGCGGCGGAGTCGCGGAGTCGCGGTGTGCGGCGAGACGCGACGACGAGCGAAGGAACACGCGAACGGCGCCCGGGGGACACGCGCGTGGGTGAGGATAAATATGCGATGTACACGCGATTACGTTCACGACACCGCGCCGTCGACGTCGGCGAGGGCGTCGTGCATCGACGTCCGTAGACGCGACAACTCGCGCTCGAGCGCGGCGACGTCGGCTCGCAGATCGAGATCCCTCGAGCGCGGCGACGGGGGAGAGTCCGCGCGCGGCGACGGCGTGTCGTCCGTCGTTGGATCTCGTCGCGATCGTGGAGGCGTCTGTGCTTCGTTGTTTCGCTCCTGAACGACGCGGATGGCGTGCGCCGTGGCCTCCGTCGCCGCCCGCAAATCGTCGTCGTGCCGCGCGGCTTGGGACGCGATTTCCCGTCTCAACGACGCGATTTCGCGCTCGAGAATCACGCGTTCCTTCTCCGAGATGGAGATGATCTCGTGCGCGTCCTCGAGCTCGCGCTCTAAGACGTCTATTCGCGCCTTGGCGCGTTCCATCTCCGCCACGTTCCAAGACGACGGAATCGCTCGAGCCCCCGGCGGCGCCTCGTCGTCGATCGCCGCCGTCTCATCTCTCAGCGCGATGGACTCCGTGAGCGACGACAGCTCGGCGATCACGGTGCTCACGGCGGATCCTCCCAACGCGCGACCGCTCGGCGCCGTCGGCGCGAACGACCGCAACGCGTCGAGCGCCACCTTGAGCGTCGCCACGGCGCGTCGCCGCTGCTTAGATTCACGCTCGAGCGTGCGCTTCAACTTATCCTTCAGACCTCGAATCTGCCTCCGAGCCTCTTCCCTCGCCCCCTCGCTCTCCTCCTTTAACTTTTCGTGCGAGTACCTCAACGCCGCGCGCTCGCGCGTTAACGTCTCCACCGCCTTCTCCGCCTCTCCCGCCCGCGTCTCCACCGCCTCCCGTCGTTTCCGTTCTCGCATCGCGTCCTCTCGAAACGTCGCCGCGCTCTCCATCATCGCGCGCATCTTTCGCGCCCGTCCGCCGTCGCGCCCATCCGCGCCTCGCCCGTCCCGTCCCCGCGTCCATCCCGCGTCCGCGCCCGCGTCGTCGCGCGCACCGCGCCAGGGCGTCGTCGTCGCACCACCGCGCGCGCGCGCGCCCGCGTTCGCGTCCCGCGGCGTGCGCGCGCGACCGACGCGCGAGGTGGACGGCGCAACGGTCGCGTCGTCGTCTACCCTCTCGTCCCGTTCGAGCCGCCATATCCACGACGTTCGCGCCCGGGCGTCGGCGACGACGGGCATCGTCGACGCGTCGAGGCGTCGACGCGTCCCGTCGACGCGCCGGGCGTCGAGGTCGCGGACGATGTGACGACGCGCATGAATGCATGCGTGAAGAAAAATTGACACATTGTCGCCGTGCATCGACATTCGACCCCGCGCGCGCGCGCGCGACGCCGCGTCGATGGCGCCGTACGTGCCCACGGGACGGAAGCGCGGGCGACCGAGGGATCCGAATAAGCGGCGGCCGGCGCGACCGGGACCGCCGCCCGAGGCGCTCAGAGTGCGTGGACGACGACGACGGACGACGCGAATGATGACGACGGACGACGCGCGACTGACGACGGGGCGAACGCTCGCGCCGCGCGTAGGCTGGGAGGAATCCCGCGTTCGATGCGATGCGACTTCGCATGGACGCGGTCGTGGACGCGGTGCGAGGGACGGCGCGCGGGCGGGACGACGCGGGCGGGACGAAGCGGGCGAAGGAAACGCTCGCGGATCGCGTGGAGAAGGCGGTGGCGATATCGATGACGGAGGAAGAGCGGGCGGCGGTGGAGAAGGAGCGGCGGGAGGCGGCGATGTATTGGCCGGTGTGCTTGAATCCGAAGACGAAGCCGAAGGGGGCGGAGGTGAGCGACGATAGGATGTCGTTTACGAGCTCGAAGGGGTATCGCACGTGTGCGGCGTCGCACGGGGTGAAGAGCGGGGCGTTTTACTTTGAGGTGACGATCGCGCGATTGGGGGAGAGCGGACACGCGCGCGTGGGGTGGAAATCGAAGAAGGGCGAGAAGAACGCGCCGGTGGGATTCGACAAGTACGGCTACGGGTATAAAGATATTCGGGGAGAGAAGACGCACGAGGCCGTCACCGCGCCCTACGGCGAACCGTTTTTCGAAGGAGACGTGATCGGGTGTTACGTATACGTCGACAAAGTGACGAAGCGCGATGACGTCAAGGATGAGAAGGACGTCGACGGGCCGACGAATTCGAGCTTTGTCGCCTTCGCGCGAAACGGTGTGTTCCAGGGCAAGGCGTACGAGGGATTGAACGATGACGACGGAGCGTATTTTCCGTGCGGGTCGCTCTTTACCGATCCCGGGGTCGAGCCCGCGCGGCTGGTGTTCAACTTTGGGCCGAACTTCGCGCACCCGCCGAACGCCGAGACGTGGGGCGTTCCCGAACCGAGGCCGATGAGCGACCTGGATCCGCCTCGCCCACCGCCTGAGATAAAGCCCGAACCTCCGCGGGCAGAAGAAGTTGCGGTGAAGACGGAAGAGGCCCCCGTCTTCGAGCTTCCGGGCGTTCCGACGTCGCTGTAGACGCATAGCTAATCTGTATTGTGTCAGCTCTCTGAGTTGTTTTACAATCGCGTTCTCCCATCACGCCCGAACCTTCAATCGCGCCCCCTTGACCTGTTTCAACTGTCTCTTCATCTTTTTTCTTGATTTCGCGTCCACGACGAACGTCTGCGCCGCCAACTGTTTCGGCGTCGGCGCGACGGACGCGTCCCGTCGTCCCTTGCCCACGCCGCGGCTCTTCGTCTTCAAAAAAATATCAGCCTTACCCACCGCGTTCAACCCCCACGCGCTCGCCTCATCGTTTCGCCTCTCCGCATCCTTCGCTCGCATCAGCGTCGCCTCGTCCACGACCAACTCCTCCTCTTCACGCGCTCCGTCCATGTCCACGTCCATGACCATGTTTCGGTGCGCCTTTGAATTCATCACCGGCACCTTTGGCTTCGCCATCGCCCGCGCGAGCGCCGCCTGCTTGGCGTCAAACTTCGAGCGCTCGTCCGCCGTCATCTCCAGCGCCGCGCTTCGCGACGATCGGATCTCTCGCCGAGACGCGGCGCGCGCGGATTTCCCCATGGCGTCGGCGGCGGCGGCGTCGGCGGCGGCGCGCTTTTCGACGTGCGCGCGCGCGTGCGAGGACGAACGCGCGAAGGGCGCGGTCGACCTCTTTGTGGTCTCGCTCGGCGCGCGACGGGGGCGAGCTCGCGGCGACGGGCGCGACGTGCGGTGGGGCGAAAGGGGTGAAGTGGGCCACGGTCAAGTGTGGTGGCGTGACAGAGGCGCGAGGGCGGGTTCGCGGACGGCGGACGCGTCGAGAGCGGTGAGAAGCCGAGAGCGGAACGATGAAGGATCGAGATCGCGGAAGAGATCATCGACGAAGGCGCGGGTGGTGACGTCGGCGTCGACAAAGGGGACGCACGGCCCGATGGCCTCGGCGCGCGCGCGCCAGGACGCGGCTTTGGCGAACGATTTGAGCGAGGCGTCGATGACTTGCACCCTGTAGGCGCACGTGCGCGAGACGCCGTCGTCGACCGTGCGGTACTTGACGAATCGTACCGCGGGGTTGCGATCTCGTTTCGGTCCGTCGTCGTCGTCGCCGCCGCCGACGTCGGGATTGAGCGTGAAGAGCACGCTACAATCTTTCGCCATTTGACCGAGGACGAACCGCCGAAGGAGGTCGAGGATTCGCGTCCACTCTAGAGATTCCAAATCAACGTTTCCTCGTTCCATCCTCAACGTGAGATCACTGACGACGGCTTCGACGACACGGAACGTCATGGGGTCGTCATCGCCCCCGTTTACTTGATGGCTAAATATAAAGCTGAACACGTCTCGCGCGTCCTCAATCACTTTTGGCAGCGCGTCACGAAGCATCAATTTGTGTCGCTCATCCTTGATCGTATGAAGCGTCTCTTTCATATTGTTCTGAGGACAACGAATCAACGCATCGCACGCTCGTCGAACGGCCTCCTCGTCCCCTAATAAATCGATCGGCGCGTACTCGCTCACCTCCGTCGCGCGTCCGTCGCGCGCCTTCAATGTTTGATGCGCCGGAAACCTCCACACCCTTCCGACTCCCTCTCGGACGGCACCGACGAACGACTTTGGTTTAATCTCAATCGAACCAACGTTCATGCGCCCGGGAAGCCGTTTCTGATCTTCCAAGTCGTCCACGCGCGCGGTGTTCAAATAATCACTCGTCGCCGTCGCCAACTCTGACAGTTGCGCGCGCGTCTCCGCCGCGCTCGACCGTCGCGCGCCGAACAACTTCTTTTCCCACATCCCTTCCGAACCCGCCTCCATCGTTCGTGAACATTCTAAACGATCTCTCTCCGCTAACGCCGTCGCTCCCTCGGGCGTGAGCTCGACGATCCCGACGTCGTCCCTCCATCGTCCGGGCGCGCCCTCCGCGCCCGCGCGCGCGAAAAACGCCTCCCTCGCCCGCGCGTCCAACGTCACCCAGTCCGCCAGCGCGCGATCGACGCCCCAGATCGCGGCATCGAGGGGATGACATCGCCACGCGTCGTCCCGTCCGTCCGTTCGAGTCGAGCGACGGGTGCGAAGGAGCGAGCGGCGGAGTTCGGGACGGGGCCCGTGGGAACCGTAGGCGAAGACGCAATGCGCGTTTCCAGCGCCGTGAGGGTGGTAATCGCGGACATCTTGGGCGTCCAAGACGTACGAGGACGACGGTGTGGCGTCCACGTCGCCCGGCGTCGCCGCGGCGCGCATGGCGTCGCGGTGCGTGAGACGACGCGGCGTCGTCTGCGGACGCGGCGGGACGCGCGTGGACGCCGCGGCGGACTAGGATGCGCTATGTTTTACATGGTCGGAGATCTAGAGGCGCGATAGGCGTCGATGCGCTCGAAAATATTTCTCGGCGCGCCGTCGATGAGTTTCGCGCGGCCGTCGGCGCTTCCACTCGGCGGTTGAGTTTCCTCGGCGGTTGATTCGCAAAATTGAAGGTATCGCGAGAGAATTGAGTTCACCGTCTCCGGCGCCTCGTGCGCGGGACAGTGCCCGACGGGGCTGAGCTCGTAGTAATGTGCGCGAGGTATCGCGCGCTTCAATCTTTGTCCCCACAGCGGAACGACCCATGGATCCTCTTTGCCGTACACGAGCGCGACGGGAATGTTTGAGTCTCGAATCCGTTCCGTCATGTCATCGAACGACATCGCGCTCTTCGGTGACCACACGACCGAGCAAAACGTCGACAGCGCGTTTTTATTCTCCGTCGGTTCAATGATGTCGCGAATCAATCTGTCATCGATCGCCTCGGCGTTGGCGTACACGAGCGAGAGCAAGCCTCTGACGTTCGCCCGCGATCGAAAGCTTTCCCAGTATTGCTTAATCGGCGCGCGAATCCAACCCGGCACGGGCAACGAACCGCGCCATGGCGCCAACTTGTACCCCAAAGACTCCTCATCGCTCGGAACGAACGCCCAAAACGGCGTCGCGTTCATCAATATCAATCCTTTCACTAAATCTCTGCTCGATTCCGCCGCGGCGACGTACGTCGCCACGTACCCGCCCAACGAGTTCCCACACACGTACGCCTCCCTCCCGACAACCTCTCGCAAGAAATATTCCACCTGTTCCCTCCACGCGTCCACCGAGTACGCGAACCCATCGATCGCTTCCTCGCCGCGCGGCCACGACTTTCCTTGTCCGACGAAATCCAACGCCCACGCGCACGCGTCCTCCCCCAGCGCCCCCTCTCTGAGCTGTGCTTCGTAATGAAACGTCCCGACACCGAATCCCGGGAGGAACACCACGTGCGTCGTCGCCGTCGTCGCGCCGCATCGCGCGTAGTGCGCGTCGTGTCCACGCCAGCGATAAAATCCCTCCGTCGTCGTCATCGTCGTCGTCTCCGTCGTCGTCGTCGCCGCGCTCGACCGCGCGCGCGCGCGTCGTCGCGCCCGTCCATCGCCGGTCGTCACCGCGGACGCGATCGACGCCCGCGCGCGCGTCGCCATCGCGCGCGTCGTTCGATGGCGTCGTGTCCCGCCGAGGCATCGTCCAAGGCTTTTGGGGACATCACGGGCGAATTCGGAGGGACTCGGGACGACTCAGGACTCAAGGATGGGAGACCAAATCTTACGACGTAGACGCTCCGTCGGCGCGCGGACGCGCGGCGGGGCGACCGAACTCGATCCCGCGAGCGCGCGCGGCCGAACGTGTTGGGTGAATTACGCGTTTCTCTTTCCGTCGTCGTCTTCACGCGGCGTCATCGAGCGCAAAGTATTTCTTTCCCTCGACCGACGCGTCGTCCACGCTCTTCGCGACGTCGGCGTCGATCGACGCGCGGAGGTACAAAATCGTGCTCGTGGTTTCCCGGGGATCCAACGACCCGCCGTACGCGTGCGCGACGTCCCCGCTCACGACCAAGGCCGCGCCAACGGAGATGAAAATGCGTCGAATACTTTTCGTCGCCCGACCCCTCAGCGCGACGCACGCCCCGCGCTCAAGCGCGATGAAGACCTTGGCGGTTTTGCCGCGACCTTGCGGTGGCACATCGTAGTGCAGTGGCCCCTCCTCGTCGCCTCTCCCTCCCAATTGTCCCATGGACCGATCGAAACAAATAGCGTTCACCCGCGCTGGCTCCTGTCCGACGACCACGACGCCGTCCGGGAGAACGCGGGTCGTGACGCGGGCCACGACGGCGTCGTCGTCATGGATTTTCACCCGAAACCTGTATGTCGCCGGCGACGAAACAAAGCGCACGCCCTCCACATCCTCGGTAATGTCATTTTCCTCTTCGCGTCCGCGTTTTGAACCGCTCGTGTCCGCCGTCGCTCGTCGCTCGACGTGCGAAGGTTCGAAATCTTTTCCGTTTCGTGTGAGAGCGATTCGCACGTGCGTGAGCCACGTAGCGGTCGTTGCGTCGTCAATAAAGCCGACGAACATATGGAAACCGCTGTGCGACGTTGGACACGGCAGCTCGAAGCGCGGGAGGGACGACGCCGGCGCCGGCGCCAACGCCAGCTCCGTGATGCGCACGCGAATACATTTTTTCATAGGGAATACCCAAAGTCGCGGGCCCCAGTCCCAACCATACGGCGGCGTCCAACTCGCGACATACGCACCGTCGCAGCCGATAGCGAGTTTGTGATCGCGCAGCGCGCTCCACGCCTCCGCCCCAGCGACCCGCAGGGCGTGGTCGTTTCTTAAGCATTCATGCAGTTTATCGGGCCCGCTTTCAGCGAGCTTGTCGAGGACGTACCGACGGCACCAAGGCAGCCAATCCGCTTCCCATAAATCTCGAAACACGTAGTGGCGCGGCATCGACGGGCCCACCGGCCGCCCGCGAGGGATGGAGTGATGCAGAGGACGACGAAGATGAGGACGACGAGTCATGACTCGCCGAATGCACCACACACCGATCATCGCCCCGATCGCCCCGGCGTCACCTCGTCCCGCCATGGGCTCGAACGAGAGCGCGCCCGCGAGCGCGGTCGAGGCGACGCCGGCGATCGAGCCGAGCGCGCGCGCGACGGCGCCGATCGACCCGAGCGCGACGGCCGTGACGACGGATGCGACGCCCGATGCGGATGCGGTGGCGGCGGTGACGACGACGATGGCGACGCTGGACGTGCGCGCGCCGCGCGCGCGGTCGACGACGCAGTTCGAGCGCGGCGTGGTGATCGACGCGCGGTTTCGCCCGTTCGGGGCGCCCCTCGGGTTCTTGACGGCGTGTAAAAAGCTGGGCGTGGAGGCGCGGATGGGGGAGCAGGTCAAGACGGCGCCGGCGACGGCGACGTGCGCGTCGGTCGACGGCGCGCGCGAAGTGGTCGGTGTACTCCCAGCGCTCGCCGCGCTGGAAGATGCGTGCGCTGGGACGGGACTGGTCGGAAGCGATGCGGCGGAGACGGAGGCGGTGATGGAGTGGGTGACGCGAAGCGGGGATCTCGCGCCGGGCGGCGGATTCGAGGCGCAGTGTAAGAGCGTGAACGAGTACCTCGCGACGCGAACGTACTTGGTCGGACACGATGTCACGCTGGCCGATTTAGCGCTCTGGGGTGAGCTCTCGACGAACCGACAGTGGCCGGTGGTGGAGAAGAAAGGGGGGTGCGAGAACGTGTCCCGCTGGATGTCGGCGATGAACGCGGACGCCGACGCGAAGAGCGTCGTGGACGCGGTGAACGCCGGGAACCCAATCTTGAACAAGAAGGCGACGACGGTGACTGAAACCGGCAAGGTTGTCGGCGCGAAGACGTCTGGATCGTTTGAGATCGATCTCCCGGGGGCTGAGATGGGTAAGGTTGTCACTCGTTTCCCGCCGGAACCGAGTGGGATTTTGCACATCGGGCACGCCAAGGCGGCTCTGCTCAACCATTACTTCGCCCGCGCGTACAAGGGGAAGCTTATCGTGCGTTTCGACGACACGAACCCGGACAAGGAAAATGATGATTTCGTCGAGGGCATCATGCGAGATATCAAGACACTCGGTCTTGATCCGGACGTCGTCACATACACGTCAGACTCATTCGACGCGATTCTCGCCATGGGCGAAAAGCTCATCAAGGAGGGTAAGATTTACATCGACACCACTGATGTCGATACTATGCGCACCGAACGCATGAATCGAATCGAATCCAAGTGCAGAAGCCAGACTGTGGAGGAAAACCTTCGACTTTGGCGGGAGATGAAGAAGGGCTCGGAGGAAGGAGCCGCGTGCGCCGCGCGCTTCAAGATTGACATGGCAAGCAACAACGGGTGCATGCGTGATCCCGTCGCTTTTCGATGCAACGTGGAAACACCGCATCATCGCACTGGGACGAAATACAAGGTTTACCCGACATACGATTGCGCGTGTCCTTTCGTCGATGCACACGAGGGCGTGACACACGCGCTTAGAACTTCCGAGTACGCCGATCGCGAAGACCAGTACAAGTGGATTCAAGAAGCGATGGGCGTGCGAGCAGTGCACATTTGGGAGTATAGTCGCTTGAACTTGGAGTATACGACGCTGTCTAAGCGCAAGCTTCAGTGGTTCGTGGACAACGGACACGCGACGGGATGGGACGATCCTCGTTTCCCCACGGTGCAGGGAGTCGTACGCAGAGGTATGCAAGTCGGCGCGCTCAAGGAGTTCATGGTGTCCCAAGGCGCTAGCAAGAACGTCAACCTAATGGAGTGGACCAAGCTGTGGGCGATGAACAAGAAGATTATTGATCCGATCGCTCCGCGCCATGTGTGCATCGATGACGAAAACGCCGTCGTGGTCAAGGTTCTCAATGGCCCTGCTGGTGAGGAATGGTTCACCGTGAACAAGCACAACAAGAACCCGGATGTTGGAATCAAGGTTGTGCTTCGTATGAACGAAATTATCATTGAACAAGCCGATGCGCAGCTGATCAAGGAGGGAGAGGAATGCACGCTCATGGGATGGGGTAACGCCTTCTTCAAGAACATCGTCAAGGAGGACGACGTGGTCAAATCCATCGAGTGCGAGATCAACCCAGAGGGTGACGTGAAGACGACGAAACTCAAGATGACGTGGTTGGCGAACTGGAAGGAGCTCGTTCCGGTCATCATCAAGGATTTTGACTATCTGATCACGAAGAGAAAGCCAGAAGAAGAAGACAAATTTGAGGATATCGTCAATACGACGACTGAGATCACCGTCAATGCCAAGGGCGACGGAAATCTACGCACGTACAACAAGGGTACCGTCATTCAACTCGATCGTAAGGGTTACTACATCGTCGACCGCGTGTACGTCAATGCGAGTGTGCCCATGATTCTTTTGAGCATCCCAGACGGCAAAAAAGCTTCGTGGGGCGTCGCGGCGAAGTAAGAATTACTGCGTTTGAACACGAAAATAAGCTCTTCTTCTAATTTGACATGATGAGAACTGAACTCTACGCACGCCCTACGGATACTCGCTACGCCGCGCCCACTAACTTTTTCAACTCACCAGACTCGTACATCGAGTTGACGATATCATGACCGCCGACGAACTCGCCGTTGACGTAAAGCTGAGGAATAGTCGGCCAGTCGGAAAAGTCCTTCAAAACGAAGAGTAGGTTCGGATTGTAGTAATCGTCTAACACATTCACCGTGTCGAAATCGATCGATAAATCGTGTAAGACGTTTACCACGCGATGCGAGAAGCCGCAGTCTGGTTCCTCGCGCGTGCCCTTGATGAACGCCACAACCTTGTGATCCTTCACGCACCTCGCGATTGCCTCAGTCAGCGCCTCCGCGGACATCTCCGGATCCTTCCCATCGCTCAATCGCACGCACGCCTTGCTCGGTCTCGCCCGTCGCTCGCTGAAGAGTTTGTTCCCCGGCGCGTTCCCCGGCGGCAATCCACCGCTCGCCGCCACGTGTTCCATCACCCACGTCTTCCACGCCGTTTGCAATTCCGCCTTACTCGCGTCCGGCATCGCCAAACACCGCACCGCGTGACAGTACTGCGGGATCTCAAACGCGTGCGTCTTCACGCTCGCCCGCACCCTCCGCGACAGCCCGACGTACTGCAGCGTCCCGCCCGCGTCGTACATCGCGTACACCCCCGGGGTCGTCACCACGCGCGCATCTTCGTGTCCATCGTTCGCGATGACGACGAGCTCGGCGCTCGCGAGCGCGGGCGTCGCGCCGTCGCTCGCCGACGCCCGTCCGCGTCCGCGCGGTCGCCCCATCGCGTCGTCTCGCCCACGCGGTCGCCCCATCGCGTCGTCCCGCCCGCGCGCGTCCACGCACGAAGTCGCCCGTCGTCGCGCGCACGCGTGGGCGTCCACGCCCGTCGTCGTCCACGCCCGCATCGCGCGCGCGCGTGCGCGAGGCGACGGCGACGGGCGACGACGGGCGATGGGGGCTCGTGAGCGCGCCACGGGTGTGTGTTTATTTACACTCGCCCCGCCAGAAGACCAACCGTCGCGACGACCGCGACAGAAAACGACGCGAACGATACGAACGACATGCGGTGCGCGGCGACGACGGTGGACGCGCGCGATGGGTCGAACGCGAACGCGAGCGATGCGATGGGGGTGCGGCGACGAACGCGTCGGTGATGGCGATGGCGATGGCGATGGCGATGGCGATGGGCGAGGCGATGGGCGAATGACGAAAATAGAAGTCGGGGTGGGCGATGACTGACGGGGGCGACGCTCGCGCGCAGGGAAATCGTGCACATTCAAGCGGGTCAATGCGGAAACCAAATCGGAGCCAAGTTTTGGGAGGTGCGCGCGCGGTGTGGTCGACGCGCACGGGTGGTGGTGATGCGCGAGACGCGCGCGCGAGTGTGAGTCAATGCGAGCGAGCGACTGACCGGCGACGCGGGGTCGATGCGGTGACTCGATGCCAGGTTATCTGTGACGAGCACGGGATCGACCCGACGGGTACTTACGCGGGCGATGCGGACTTACAGCTCGAGCGCGTGAACGTGTACTTCAACGAAGCTTCTGGAGGTGCGCACGTTGACTCGTGAATTTCTGCGTTTATTTTTGACTCGTCTCACAGGTCGTTACGTGCCGCGCGCCGTGCTAATGGATCTCGAGCCTGGCACCATGGACTCCGTGCGATCGGGACCTTTTGGACAAATCTTTCGCCCGGATAACTTCGTCTTCGGGCAAACCGGAGCCGGGAACAACTGGGCCAAGGGTCACTACACCGAAGGCGCCGAGCTCATCGACGGTGTCCTCGACGTCGTTCGCAAGGAGGCTGAGTCGTGCGACTGCCTCCAAGGTTTCCAAGTGTGCCAGTCCCTCGGTGGTGGTACCGGTTCCGGTATGGGTACGCTTCTGATCTCCAAAATTCGGGAAGAGTACCCGGATCGCATGATGCTCACCTTCTCCGTCGTGCCATCACCAAAGGTGTCCGACACCGTCGTTGAGCCGTACAACGCAACGCTCTCGGTGCACCAGCTCGTCGAAAACGCGGACGAATGTATGATTCTTGACAACGAAGCGCTTTACGACATCTGCTTCCGCACGCTGAAACTCACGACTCCGACGTTCGGTGACTTGAACCACTTGATCTCCGCGGTGATGTCCGGCATCACGTGCTGCTTGCGCTTCCCGGGTCAGCTCAACGCGGACTTGCGCAAGCTCGCGGTGAACTTGGTGCCGTTCCCGCGTTTGCACTTCTTCATGGTTGGCTTCACGCCGCTTACTTCACGCGGATCTCAACAGTACCGCGCGCTGACGGTTCCGGAGTTGACGCAGCAAATGTGGGACGCGAAGAACATGATGTGCGCCGCCGATCCGCGTCACGGCCGCTACCTCACCGCCTCCGCGCTCTTCCGTGGTCGCATGTCCACCAAGGAGGTCGACGAACAGCTCTTGAACTGCCAAAACAAGAACTCGTCGTACTTCGTCGAGTGGATTCCGAACAACGTGAAGAGTTCGGTATGCGACATCCCTCCGAAGGGTCTCAAGATGTCCGCGACGTTTGTTGGCAACTCAACGGCGATTCAAGAAATGTTCAAGCGAGTCAGCGAGGCGTTCACCGCCATGTTCCGACGCAAGGCTTTCTTGCACTGGTACACGGGCGAGGGTATGGACGAGATGGAGTTCACCGAGGCCGAATCGAACATGAACGATTTGGTGTCCGAGTACCAGCAGTACCAAGATGCGAGCGCGGAGGAAGAAGGTGAATTCGACGAAGAGGACGCCGAGGAAGCTTTCTAAGTAGAGGATCGCGAAGAAAAACGCCGCGACGGGGCGTGAGAGGAAGTCCGCGACGCAATTACTACTATTGAAAAAGACGATCCAAGCGAGGAGGTGAGCGGAGACGTCGAAGCCGATATTCACACGAGAGAGCGAGCAGGCATTCGGCGAAACGCAAAAAACACAAGCGTCGCGGCGCGCGAGAACTCATTTCAGCGCTATCTAATAATTACACACCTCCTCTCGTCACGCGTCGCTCTTAGCCTTGCCCCGTTCTTCTACAAGCGTTCGCGATAGCATCTGGAGTTTTTCGTTTTGTTTCGTCAGCCGAGCCACCTGTCGGCGAAGACTCTCGCGCTCGTCGACGACTTCGATCAACGCCGCGTCCGACTTTTGCTTCATCAACTTTGCCTCGAGCATCTTCTTCTCGCTCGCCATCGCCTCCATCTTTGCACTCGCGAGCTCTTCCACCAACTTCTCCGCCTTGGCTTCGTTCTCCACCAAAACCGCCCTGAACTCTTCAAATTTCTCTCCGTACGTTTTCAAGTCCTCCGACAGCTCAATCTCCCGCTCGAGGCGTCTTTTGATCTCCATCCTCGCCTCCTCCAACGCCTCTTCCAACGCTCGCCGCGCCTTACCCTCCTCCTCACGCTCACTCGCGATCACCTTTTCATACGACTCTATCGCTTCTCCGTACTCCTTCAATCGTCTCTCGATCGCGTCCTCGTCGCTCGCCCGCTTCGTCATCGCCGCCGCCCGCTCCTCTAACAACGCCACCTCCCGATCGCGAATCTCCCCTCGCGCCCGTTCCGCCTCGACCATC